GGGGGGAAGAGAGAGAAAACATTTTAAACCGTTACTTAGAACTTATGTAGGCCTAGGAGAGAGCTATGACGTCCGGTTCGGCCGTGCACTTGTTCGGCAATAAGATATTCAATTCCCAAATAAGGGTTTATCTATAGGTGTAACATGTTTCTTCTGACGCAAATCCAGTTATTGTCTATTATTCAATCACGACAATAACAATTACTGTCAAATAAGGGTTATTGTATGGAACGCCGAGTAGTGTACATGTAATCAATGTGTGAATAAGATATCACAGTGCAATGTTGGCAACAGGTTAGGGGGTATACTGTACAGGAAAATCATCCGTAATAAAATCGAATTTCTGAAATAAAGAGTATAAATAAAAATGTATTGTTTGTTTTTACTTCTACTTAGAAGAACACAGTACCGTTTAAATAATATTTATTTATTAAATATTATGTAATTTAGTACATTATTATTAAGATTGATTGTTTTACGGAGTTTTAATAGCATAGTTTTAGTTAAGAAGTGTTTTTACTGCAAAATATTGTAAGTTGAAACTTTATTGCTTGGAAGAAATTTAACTTAACTATAGCTGTCACTTATCAAGAAAGTTGATTTGTATCTTGGATTAAAGTATATAATAATATTATATAATGCAGGATTGATTAATTATATTATAATTAATTAATCCTGAAATTATAATTATATATGTACGATTAAACAAACGTACCTATTGCAATACAATTATCCTTCTAGATAAAAGTGACTGATTTGTTACCGTATTTAAATAATTAATTAATAATTAAATCTACTGTAGGCATGAATGGAAATAAATTGCTTTTAATAGGTATCAAGCTGCCAGTACTAAGTTGCCTAGTAACAGTTAATTCAGTGGGAACGTTCCCACAAGTAGGGTCCGATCGGATACTCTTGGTAGAATAAAGACACAAAGTTTTGTACGCCGCCAATTCAAGAATGTTATCGGAGACGAAGTCTTTGTACGCCGCCAATTCAGGAATGTTATCGGAGACAAGGAAAGAATGTCAAGAGCCGTCTGGCTTGATCTCTGTACATGGTAACTGTACGAACATGTGCGATGGTTCAGAAATGTAGTTGTTCCCCGAGTTGTTCGCCTATACAGACCCTATAATGTAGGGTTTGTGGCCATGGCCTATACGACGTGTTGATTTATTGTCTATTAATTATTTTACATAAGCGTAATACAGACATTGATTATGATCATTAACCTCTGTTGTGTGTAATAACAGTATTATTGCTCGTTTGAACCAGATTGAACACTTAATTAGTTGGTGAATTCGCATATGGTGATTCATCAATCGGCAGACACTGCACACTTGTTCTGCACGAATGGGCATGTTTTGCCCTATCTAATACAAGCGAACCACAGAAACGTGTATTTCTATTGTTACCTTCTTGATGAAAGGCGCTTACAGTTAAAATTCTTGATTTTAGGGCGATGTATTTCATGTTTTTTTTTTTTCTAAAATAATACACAAAATCATTGAAAAAAAAACAGTGTCGGTCGGCAGCCTGTCAGCGTCAGTCGGAAATTTTGAGTGGCGTTTATATACTTTCTGCTTTAAATCAATCAATGATTACGACAAATATAATAAAATTTGGCAGTATATTAATATTATCAACATTCTTCTTTTCTTCTTCCTCTTTTTCACTATATGCATCGACACTGTAATAAGAAAATAATAAAAATCCTTTGGTTTGATTATCCACATATAAATTCATTTGTTTCAAATAGATAAACCGAAATATATTATGAATCTTAAAACATTATTATTAACTTACACAAACCTAATAAAATGTTTTGTTCGCAAACACATCGCAGTATTAATGCCATTGAATTGCCTAAAATCATATTAATTAATTTGCAGCATAAAGACCTGATAACTCAACACGATTATCAAAATATGATTGCATATATAATGTACATTCGTTTGTTTTAAATAGATAAAACGAAACATATGCCATCTAAATCATTAATTATTAACTTACACGGGACTTACACAAACTTAATAAAATCCACTATTGTTTTGGCAAACTAATGGCAGCATAATAATTCCCGGATTTCCTTAAAACTTATTTGGCAACGTAGAAGATCTAACAAAAACACGAAATAATGGATACTGTAGCACCAATAGATTAACCACACACACACACACACGTACAGCATGCACAGTTTTGCGCCTACTTGACGTTCCATACAAATATATCCCAGCCGAACTTGTACACGGCCGAACCGGTCCTGTACACCGGCCTAGCTAAATCTCTCCTTGGCCTAGATAAGTTCTAAGTAAGTTTCAAAGGTTAGTTAATAATAATATTCAATATTAGTCAAGGGGGCGACTTGGTTAGGGGGTGACTTTGCTAGGGAGGGGGGACTTGAAAAGGGGGAGACTTTACAAGTCAAGGGGCAGACTTTACAAGTCAAGGGGCGACTTTACAAGGGGCGACTTGACTGGATCCCGGATGTACGTCACATGCGATTTCTTTATAAATGATCGTTGTCCGATCGTTAGCTTGTTGTGGGTGCAATCTACGCTCTGCAAACAAAAACGCTAGAATCCTTTCTAGCATTACAAACTATACAACGTCGCGCAAATGAAAGATCTATATTTACTCTGTACGTCATTTAAATAAAGTGCATGACTTGTCATTTTACTTATTATTTACTTATACCCTCTTAAATAAAAAGCTTAGAATGTCTAACCATAACTAAATAGATTTTGTTAATATGTACATGGGCTCATCCCTGAACAACTTAGTATGAAAGAGATATGCTGTGAAGGAAGGTCCCTTTGTAATTGGGATACCCCTGTTAAATTGACTTTGATATAATATCACCTATAATCTTTAAGTAATATTATCTAATAATAATATAAGTAATATAATAATAATAATAATAATAAGAATAATAATAATAATAATAATAATAAGTAATAAATATAAATGTAAGTAATAAGTAATATAATAATAATATAGGTGTTTTTTTCCCCAATAAATACTGTAGTTGAGTTGATTCTTTCATGACACATGCAGTTGAGTGTGTCTTTCTTATATGTGATTGACTCGATTGTCATGAAAAAAACTATAAATCTGACATATTTATTACATAGGTTAATTTAGAAAACAAGTTCTACACAATATACAGTACCTATAAAACCTCTAAAATTTTGTGAATATATCAGCGTCAATTTAACAGGGGTATCCCTATTACCAGGAGACCTTCCTTCACAGCAACTGGGCCTATCTCTTTCGTACTAGGTCGTTCAGGGATGAGCACATGTACATATTAACACATTGCTTTAATATGGTTTAGACAGTCTCAACTTTTCATATAAGAGTGTATAAGTAAATAATTAGTAAAATGACAAGTCATGCACCTTATTCAATTAAACGTAGTAAATAATAGATCTTTCATTTGCGCGACGTTGTATTTGTAATGCTAGAAAGGATTCTAGCTTTTTGTTTAAAAATTCCAGTTGGACCAGTTGGAACTGGAACCAGTTGGTGCTGTGTTTTGGACACTTTCAACTGGTCCTAGTTCCAACTGGTCCCAACTCCAACTAGTTTCAATTGGTCCCAGTCCCAACCGGTCTTCAATTGGTCCCAGTCCCAACTGGTCTTCAATTGGTCCCAGTTCCAACTGGTCTTCAATTTGTCCAAGTTCCAAATGGTCTTTAATTGGTCAAAGTTCCAACTGGTCTTCAATTGGTCCCAGCTCCTTTTTGTAAAATGACAATGGCTCTAATCAAATTCCTGTAGGCTTACAAAATACTCTGAGTTTAAGGTATACAACCATAAATTCTTTAATTAAAAAAACATCAACAAACATTATGTGGTAGGGACATTATTCCCCTAGAGTCTCAATCACTTCCATACACCTTCACATATCGTTTGTCTTGCTGCTACACATACTGTACCTAAAATTCAAGCTTATTCTAGATTCCTAGGCTTTACAGTCTTATTTAAATCAGCATTTTTATCCGTAATGTAGGCCTATTACATTAAAACATCAGTTTATCATATATAACAATATTCAAGAACCTTTCATGTTACAGGCATGCATAAACCAGCATACTTTGTATACTGTACTAAAGCAGAAACTGTCCATAATCATGCCTTTTCTTGTCCAATTGTAGCAAACTAAACTAAGAATATTGATGAGATGAATTCTGCTGTTGAACAAATCAATTTTAAATATTGAACCACGTTGACTTTTTTTTTGAGTTTCACCCTTGCTGAAAGATTATAACAAAAGAAAATCTTTAATAAGTTACTGTGTACACTAAATTAACTGTAGAGCGCATATTATAGAAACCTTTCTTGGGAAAAAAAATGAATGGAAAATCAGACTATACAGGTCAATTATTAGAAATTAGGGCAGGGGAAACTTTTATGTCCTGAGAAACGCACATTAATGTTAAATGTACCTTAATAAACACTCAAATTTTAAATATGTTATTTCCCTACGAAATTAATGTATTTAAATTAGTATGGTATGCATAATGTAGCTAAGATAAGTAAGATAGCAGTTTATGTTTTTTTTTTTAAATCAAAAGTGAATTATCCATTTCCATTTCTGGTTTTTTGTTT